TTGACTATGACTTTTCAGATCACCCAGTAGTGCTATCTGCTGGGTTAGCTCCAGGTAAATATTGCAATCCTTCAGCCATTATTGGACCTGTGACCAAAAACAAGCTACAAATGGACAGTACCAAAACAAATGATCTAATGATTCTGTCTCTTCGCAGCAACATCTGCAGAGCTGGGAAGATTGTATCCCCCATATACAGTGGGGAGAACAAGTATTTGATACACTGCCGATTTTGCAGGTTTTCCTACTTACAAAGCATGTAGAGGTCTGTAATTTTTATCACAGGTACACTTCAACTGTGAGAGACAGAATCTAAAACAAAAATCCAGAAAATCACATTGTATGATTTTTAAGTAATTAATTTGCATTTTATTGCATGCCATAAGTATTTGATACATCAGAAAAGCAGAACTTAATATTTGGTACAGAAACCTTTGTTTGCAATTACAGAGATTATACGTTTCCTGTAGGTCTTGACCAGGTTTGCACACACTGCAGCAGGGATTTTGGCCCACTCCTCCATACAGACCTTCTCCAGATCCTTCAGGTTTCGGTGCTGTCGCTGGGCAATACAGACTTTCAGCTCCCTCCAAAGATTTTCTATTGGGTTCAGGTCTGGAGACTGGCTAGGCTTCTCCAGGACCTTGAGATGCTTCTTACGGAGCCACTCCTTAGTTGCCCTGGCTGTGTGTTTCGGGTCGTTGTCATGCTGGAAGACCCAGCCACGACCCATCTTCAATGCTCTTACTGAGGGAAGGAGGTTGTTGGCCAAGATCTCGCGATACATGGCCCCATCCATCCTCCCCTCAATACGGTGCAGTCGTCCTGTCCCCTTTGCAGAAAAGCATCCCCAAAGAATGATGTTTCCACCTCCATGCTTCATGGTTGGGATGGTGTTCTTGGGGTTGTACTCATCCTTCTTCTTCCTCCAAACACGGTGAGTGGAGTTTAGACCAAAAAGCTCTATTTTTAGCTCATCAGACCACATGACCTTCTCCCATTCCTCCTCTGGATCATCCAGATGGTCATTGTCAAACTCAGACGGGCCTGGACATGCGCTGGCTTGAGCAGGGGGACCTTGCGTGCGCTGCAGGATTTTAATCCATGACAGCGTAGTGTGTTACTAATGGTTTTCTTTGAGACTGTGGTCCCAGCTCTCTTCAGGTCATTGACCAGGTCCTGCCGTGTAGTTCTGGGCTGATCCCTCACCTTCCTCATGATCATTGATGCCCCACAAGGTGAGATCTTGCATGGAGCCCCAGACCGAGGGTGATTGACCGTCATCTTGAATTTCTTCAATTTTCTAATAATTGCGCCAACAGTTGTTGCCTTCTCACCAAGCTGCTTGCCTATTGTCCTGTAGCCCATCCCAGCCTTGTGCAGGTCTACAATTTTATCCCTGATGTCCTTACACAGCTCTCGGGTCTTGGCCATTGTGGAGAGGTTGGAGTCTGTTTGATTGAATGTGTGGACAGGTGTCTTTTATACAGGTAACGAGTTCAAACAGGTGCAGTTAATATAGGTAATGAGTGGAGAACAGGAGGGCTTCTTAAAGAAAAACTAACAGGTCTGTGAGAGCCAGTATTCTTACTGGTTGGTAGGTGATCAAATACTTATGTCATGCAATAAAATGCAAATTAATTACTTAAAAATCATACAATGTGATTTTCTGGATTTTTGTTTTAGATTCCGTCTCTCACAGTTGAAGTGTACCTATGATAAAAATTACAGACCTCTACATGCTTTGTAAGTAGGAAAACCTGCAAAATCGGCAGTGTATCGAATACTTGTTCTCCCCACTGTAAATAACATTCTATTGGTAGCAAGAATTTTGTATAATAATTTAAATTGAACAATTCTACGTTTTGAATCCGATGTCGTTTTGCGTATCAGTTCATAAACACTATGCCATGGAATCGGTACGTCAAAAATCTCTTTCCAACTATTTTGCTATCTATATGGGACGGCTGTCAATCCTTTGGTCCTTAAATGAAACTGGTATACTTTTTTATTTATCACAATTTTCTTTAACCAATTATGGTCTTTAATGCAGGGCCGACAGACAAGTTCCTTACTTTTTCCCCCTTCCACTTTCCTCTTCCATTTTTGCGGAAAATGCTGCAATTATTTGGTTGTAATTTTGGGTAGAGCAGACATTTCCATATGTTTTTGTTAGCTGCATGTGGGACATAACTCCACCAGTCCTACCTATGATAAGAAGATTATACCTTTTTCAAACATTTTTTCAAAACATAATACTTTTTTTTATCAATTAGTATATTTGAGTTTAACCACAATATTTGTAGCATTATTTGTTCTGTCGTTTCTGGAGGATTAAATTGAAATTGCAACCAACTTTCTATGGCTTGTTTTAGAAATAGTGATATTTGGGAGATGATTTCCTTTTCAAATAACTGAAAGTGAGAGGTTGTAATCTGGGAAAAAGGCCATTCTTGAAGATGGGGTGAGGCAATTTTACTAATTTGCTAGAGAACCAGTTCGGATTTAAGTATAACTTTTGTATGACTGAAGCTTTTAGTGATTGGTCTAATGCTTTAATATTTAATAATTTCTGTTCTCCGAATTCATATTCATTATATAAATAGGCATGTTTAATTTTGAATATTTTTTTCTCATATAATTTAACTGTTCGCTAGGCGTAGGCAAGACCATAAGCAAATAGGTAAACTGGGATAATACTAAAGAGTTAATCAGGGTGATTTTTCCACAAATAGACAGGTATTTACCTTTCCATGGTAGCAAGATCTTATCTATTTTTGCTAACTTTCTATTAAAATTTATTGGAGTGAGATCATTTATTTCAATTGGGATATGTATTCAGAGTATATCCACATCACCATCAGACCATTTTATTGGTAAACTACATGGTAATGTAAAAATTATATTTTAGTGATCAAATACGTAACATAGTAATAACTTCACCATGCTCAAAAGGGATATTTAATGTCAGTTTTTTTTTTTTTTTTTTTTTTTACCAAAGTACCAATAGGTGCCCGTCTTTGTGAGGCACTGGAATACCTCCCTGGTCTTTGTGGTTAAATCTGTGTTTGAAATTCACTGCTCGACTGAAGGACCTTACAGATAATTGTATGTGTGGGGTACAGACACGAGGTAGTCATTCAAAAATCAGTCCATGTTTACTCCTGAAATTATTTAGGCTTGCCATAACAAAGGGGTTGAACACTTATTGACTCAAGACATTTCAGCTTTTCATTAATTTGTACAAATGTCTAAAAGCATAATTCCACTGACATTATGGGGTAATGTGTGTAGGCCGGTGACACAAAATCTCAATTTAATAAATTTTAAATTAAGGCTGTAACACAACAGAATGTGGAAAAAGTCAAGGGGTGTGAATAGTTTCTGAAGGCACTGTACTTATTCGTAACATATTGTACGAATTGCAGTTCGTAAAATACATTACATGACCAAACATATGTGGACACCTGCTTGTTGAACATCTCATTCCAAAATCATGTGCATTAATATGGAGTTGGTCCCCCCTTTGCTGCTATAACAGACTCCAGTCCAATGGCGACGAGCTTTACACCATTCCAGCCGACGCTTGGCATTGCGCATGGTGATCTTAGGCTTGTGTGCTGCTGCTCGGCCATAGAAACCAATTTCATGAAGCTCCCGATAAACAGTTATTGTGCTGAAGTTGCTTCCAGAAGCAGTTTGGAACTCGGTAGTGAGTGTTGCAACCGAGGACCGACGATTTTTACGCGCTACCCGCTTCAGGACTCAGCGGTCCTGTTCTGTGAGTTTGTGTGGCCTACCACTTCTCGGCTGTTGCTCCTAGACATTTCCACTTCACAATAACAGTACATACAATTGACCGGGGCAGCTCTAGCGGGGCAGAAATTGACTTGTTGGAAAGGTGGCATCCTATAACGGTGTAAGGCCATTCTACTGCCAATGTTTGTCTATAGAGATTGCATGGCGGTGTGCTCGATTTTATACACCTGTAAGCAACGGGTGTGGCTGAAATAGCCGAATCCACTAATTTGAAGGGGTGTCCACATAGTTTTCTATATATAGTTTATCATACGAATTGTAATTCGAAATTCATCCACAGATTAATACCACACCAAACGTAACATATCATACTAATTTGAGTGACCAGGATTTTCGTTTACTATGTTATGTCTACCCCCTACCCCTGAGTCCATGTTGCGTGAGAGTTTCTGGTCATGAGGAAAAGTAGGCAACTGCCAGCCAATTGCGCATGGTGAGAAAGAATATGGGGATCAATAAGTTGCCTTATAGGTGAAATACGACAGTGCGTCAGAAAACATTGTATTTTAAACCAAATACAAATTGTCATTTTAACAAATGCCAAAACTATACCCAAAGGGCTAGTGTCCACATCTGCGAGTGACTCAGATAAAGTGTCAGTAGAATGTGTTATACACAGTAGCCTACTTACGCCCTGGTTTTGGGGAACCCCATCGATAAGAGGACGTCCAAATTCGATCCATATTTCACAGTGCCCGGTAATTTCGGCAGAAGTCTTCGCGGGATGATTTTGCTGTAGAGATCCTCTTTTGCAGCCATGATTCAGGATTCCATTGGTTTTCAGACTGGATCCAGTCTACGGTACTGTAGCGAGCGGTGGAGAAAGATAACTATTGGACTACAACCGATTATTATTGTGAGCAGTGTGTTCGCGGGCGCTCCCTCCTCCCCGCCCCCAGAAACTCAAATCATGTCTGCTGCTGCGTTGTGTGTATGAAAAGCAGAGATACATGCAGGAGTGTCAGTAGCCTAATAATAATAGTCATAGTAGCATAATAACAGGCTATTCAGTATAGCTTTGATGATTACAATGTGTCCTCAAAACGTTAGGTTACGTTTGATTCCAAAAATAAAACGGAATTTTAGATAAAGTGAGCAATATATAATACAGAGTAACGTTAGACCCAGCCTAATATGGTAGATGAAATAAATGAGTGGAATTAGGCTACTAATACACTGCATTTGCCTCAAAAATTAATAAACCTTATTTATTCAATGTTCATAAAAAGACAATGTGTTACATTTATTAAATTACTCACAAACCATTACAAGGCAGATTAATTTTACAACTGTCTCATCATAATCCATTCATACAGGAAATCAAGGGCTACAAATTTGCCCACATAAATAGAAAAATATAATGCTGTGTTATCCTAGCTACAGATTTGACACTTGATTGATTATTAAGATGCCCATTATAAATAATTTAAAATCAGTGTTGGCTGTTGGTTCCAATGGTACCAGATGGGTTATATGGCACAATCACACAGAACACACAGCCAGCCTCTTGGAACGCTTTCCTCAACTCCACCTAGTGTCAAAGAAAAGTCAGGCACAACATTACTACTGTATGGGTAACACTGTATCTGGATAGTCCTCTACGTAAGGCCTACAGATGGACCCGTTTATAGATGCTCAAGTAACTATCAAACTTTAGCCCTAACCCTAGGAAGCTGTGGTGTATCAAGTAAAGTCGAGTTATATTACAGAGTTGCAGTTGATAGTAGTTTGAGCGTCAATTAACCATTTATACGGGACTATCAAAATAAAGTGACCAAAGTATGAAACACAATTAATCTATTTTCCATTGATACCACAGCGCATACAGTATACATTGTTGTTTAAGATGTGAAAGTAGAAGTCTTACCAGTCTTCCTTGGTCCAGACACAAGCCCACTACAGCACCACCACTGCCGGGTAGTTTCGCAGCTGAGCCAAACTGCATTGGCAAGCAATGCAAGCAAACACACTGAATGATAAACAAAAACTACAAAGGAGCAGAATCGGAAAAAGATACGATAATCTTGGAAATTGTAACTCTATACTTTACCTGTCTTGCCAGTTGCACCATCGTGAGATTGCCTGGTCCCAAACAGTCTTCGGTGTACACAGACCTATAGGACAGAGATCGTTCCAGTATTAGTTGTTTCCTGTTGTGAACAATGAGGTGCCCTTAAATCTTACTACGTAAAATCATGCTGTTCGTTTATGAAAATTCACTCTTTAGGGCCAAGAGTTTTTCCTGATCAGGTCATGTGGGTCAGGAAAATCTTCTGGCCCTATGACAGTTGACGATCATGTTTTATCTTTCCATGGGAGCAAAGAGATTAACTTCCTAAAACCAATGACAGGCTCAAAGGGTGTCACACTTTTCTTTACCGTCGCAGCTGAAAGTTCTCATCCATCAACTGGGCCAGCCTGCTCCAGTCCATTCCCTGTAGCGCAACCCTGTGGAGGACAAGAGAACCCAACTGTTTCATTACCAGGTAATGCTCACTTAAAGATGCACTACTAATTCTTGCCAGTAGTTTTGAGTGGTGCTTACGAGCCAAAAGTGCTCCCAGGTTTTTTGTGTACTACGTCATCAAATTGTGTCCTACATCATCCATTTCGTATGATATGTTACGTCCTGCAAATATATTCAGTACCAGTCAAAAGTTTGGACACACCTACTCATTCAAGGGTTTTTCTTTATTTTTACTATTTTCTACATTGTAGAATAATAGTGAAGACATCAAAACTATGAAATAACACATATGGAATCATGTAGTAACCAAAAAAGTGTTAAACAAATCAAAATATATTTTATATTTGAGATTCTTCAAATAGCCACCCTTTGCCTTGATGACAGTTTTGCACACTCTTGGCATTCTCTCAACCAGTTTCACCTGGAATGCTTTTACAACAGTCTTGAACGAGTTCCCATATATGCTGAGCACTTGTTGGTTGCTTTTCCTTCACTCTGCGGTCCAACTCATCCCAAACCATCTCAATTGGGTTGAGGTTGGGTGATTGTGGAGGCCAGGTCATCTGATGCAGCACTCCATCACTCTCCTTCTTGGTCAAATAGCCCTTACACAGCCTGGAGGTGTGTTGGGTCATTGTCCTGTTGAAAAACAAATGATAGTCCCACTAGGCGCAAACCAGATGGGATGGCGTATCGCTGCAGAATGCTGTGGAAGCCATGCTGGTTAAGTGTACCTTGAATTCTAAATAAATCACTGACAGTGTCACCAGCAAAGCACCCCCACACCTCCTCCTCCATGCTTCACGGTGGGAACCACACATGGGGAGATCATCCATTCACCTACTCTGCATCTCACAAAGATACGGCGGTTGGAACCAAAATCTCAAATTTGGACTCATCAGACCAAAGGACATATTTCCACCGGTCTAATGTCCATTGCTCGTATTTCTTGGCCCAAGCAAGTCTCTTCTTCTTATTGGTGTCCTTTAGTAGTGGTTTCTTTGCAGCAATTCGACCATGAAGGCCTGATTCACACAGTTTCCTCTGAACAGTTGATGTTGAGATGTGTCTGTTACTTGAACTCTGTGAAGCATTTATTTGGGCTGCAATCTGAGGTGCAGTTAACTCTAATGAACGGATCCTCTGCAGCAGAGGTAACTCTGGGTCTTCCTTTCCTGTGGCGGTCCTCATGAGAGCCAGTTTCATCATAGCGCTTCATGGTTTTTGCGACTGCATTTGAAGAAACTTTCAAAGTTATTGACATTTTCCGGATTGACTGACCTTCATGTCTTAAAGTAATGATGGACTGTCGTTTCTCTTTACTTATTTGAACTGTTCTTGCCATAATATGGAATTGGTAATTTACCAAATAGGGTTATCTCCTGTATACCACCCCTACCTTGTCACAACACAACTGATTCGTTCAAACGCATTAAGGAATGAAATTCCATAAATTAACTTTTAACAAGGCACAACTGTTAATTGAAATGCATTCCAGGTGACTACCTCATGAAGCTGGTTGAGAGAATACCAAGAGTGTGCAAAGCTGTCTTCAAGGCAAAGTGTGGCTACTTTGAAGAATCTCAAAAATAAAATATATTTTGATTTGTTTAACACTTTTTTGGTTACTACATGATTCCATGTGTTATTTCATAGTGTTGACGTCTTCACTATTATGCTACAATGTAGAACATAGTAAAAATAAAGAAAAACCCTGGAATGAGTAGGTGTCCAAACTTTTGAATGGTACTGTATACATCTTTTTTTACATGTTACGAATTTGTTGCGCTTAAGATCCTAGATTGCATCTTTAAGCCATATCAAAGAGACAGGCAATAACTTTGTGGCGGAGTATGTAGACAGAGGTTCGAGGGGCAGACAAGCACCAGAGGGCTGCTGGTTCAAATCCCATAACTACCATCCAGTGATGTTGTGCCTTTGCTATTGCACCAGGGGCACTACTGCCATTGAACCTGTGCGCCTGCAAACATCTCACACAAACCTGGCTTTATCTGTGAGCTCCGCAAAAGACTTCATGGCCTCAACCACTTCAGCTTCTCCTGAAAACAGAGGTGGACAGATGGACTAAATACGGATAGATAACAAAAGTATTCCTGTTCATTATCATCTGATTCCTCTAGCCTACAGTTTAAAATCGATGAAGTGATAATTCCGTCAATACAAGAAGTTAACGTGGTCCTCTGTAGCTCAATTGGTAGAGCATGGCGCTTGTAACGCCAGGGTAGTGGGTTCGATGCCCGGGACCACCCATACGTAAAAATGTATGCACACATGACTGTAAGTCGCTTTGGATAAAAGCGTCTGCTAAATGGCATATTATTATTATATTATTATTATTATTAACTGAAATTCCAAATGGAATTGACCCCAACCTTGGTGAACATTGCTGCCTGCCAACCGAGCTTACCGTGTGTGTGTGTGTGTGTATGTGTCTTACCATTGAGCCAGCGCTGTCTGACGTTGCTGTGAATCCGACCAGAGTCACTGGGATCACTCAGATAAGCTAACCAGAACGGTGGCAGGCTGCTCATGTCCATAGAAATGTAATCCCCTGTGTACAGTCAACACACAAACATGAACATGTAAAAGGTTAATTGTAAACTCAGTTACATAATGTATACATAAATGTTCAGCTCGAGATATATGTAAGAGGATGCACAAAGATATGCACAGCTGCCTTTAAAAACACGCTTGCACAAACTCACATACCCCTAAAGAAATTAATTACTTTTCAAAAATCATTATCATTAATCAATCATTAGGCCGCATGTGTCAAACTCATTCCATGGAGGGCCGAGTGTCTGCTGGTTTTCACTCCACCCTTGTACTTGACTGATGAATTAAGGTCACCTGGTTGTCTAGGTCTTAATTAAAAGGAAAAAACTAAAACCTCAGTGGAATGAGTGACACCCCTGCAGGGGTTCAGTTATCAAGCATAGATTGGTAACTTTTTTCTAATTTGGCACAACGAAACTAGAGGCCATGAGTAACTTGATCAAAAATAATAGCACCGATTGGCCTATAGGTGGCACTATTATAAGCAGTCTCAATTACACCCTAATGTCCGTCACCCGGTTTGACCTAGAGACTTGAATCTTTGTATGTAGGTGTCTTTCCTCATGTTGAACAAATTTGCCTCAAGGACCCATAAGGTCCAGCGGAATAGATTTGCCTCCATCTTGGAAATTTCAGAAAATATTTAAAGAACTTCCTCTCATGAACCAAATTCGGTATTTAGGTCTAGCTCTTAACTTAGTTTGAGAACAGATAAGGGATCAGTTAAGAGATGGCTGAGTTATTGATAAATCAGGAAATGAGATTTTACGTGTCCATTTAAATCCTTCGTAAATCCACTCAACAATGGCCTATCAACTTGAAACATTTTAGGGTCATCAAAGCCATTACTATGATGAACCATGCTAAATTTGGCATTGATATCTTAAAAAATAAGGAAACTATTAACACTTTTTTGACTTTGTAACGCTAATGCTTAAAATCATAATACAAAATATTCTCATCGACTAAAAGTAAGATTCACTCCAAATCACAAGTCCATAAAGAGTTTGAGAAATGACGTTGATGTATTCAAAGATGGCAACACTATAACAGTTGATGCATATTAGCACATACGCTAATATGCTACAATATGTAAAAAATACTTTTAAAAAATCTTCTCATGAACCATAGATCAAATGTGAAATGTAGGCCCGTGTTACGTCTTAACTAGTTTGAGAAAAGCTAAGGGATTGGTCAAAAGATGGCTGAGCTATTGACAAATCAAACATCTGACTTTATGCATCCACCTAAAACCACTGTAAATCAACTCCACAGTGGCCTATCAACTTGAAAATTGTCGTCGCTATCATGGACGTCCCTAAGATTAACCACACTGAATTTGGTATTGTTATCTCATTATATGAGTCTTTAATGGTTTTGAGAATTTTTTTTGTTGAATTCAAATATGGCCGCACTGTACCTATAGATGCGCGTTAGCACATATGTTAATGCTATAAAATACTTTGAAAATCTTCTTCTCATGAACCATAAGTCAGATTGACTCAAGATTTGATATATAGACTCAATGAATTATGAGTTGCTGCATTCAAGGTTGGCCACGCCACACCACTCGACGGCAACATATCACACCAGCGCTATAAGAACTGAACCGATGGACATGGGGCCAAGACATTTGGTATGTAAATCTTATGTATATGTCCTTAGAAGCTGTGTGAATATAAAGTCACTGCAACCTTGGATGGCTGCACCAGACCAGTTGGTGGCACTATAGATGTCATTGGCACCAGGATACTAGAGCAATAACCATTGATCAAGTGGACTTTGTCTCATGCAAATGAATGTTAGATTTTAATTATGCAGACGAACAATGTTAAATATCGTGAATAGTATATCTGTATAATCACATATTGTTGCCCTATTATGTGGTCTGATTGTAGTGAAAAGTGGATATTTTATTTTTGGAAAATAAGAAACTGGAAGTCCTGCTGCTTGCGCAGTGAGCATATACACTGAGTGTACAAAACATTAAGAACACCTAATATTGAGTTGCACGTCCCACTTTTGCCCTTAGAACAGCCTCAATTCGTCGGGAATGGACTCTACAAGGTGTCGAAAGCGTTCCACAGGGATGCTGGCCCATGTTGACGCCAATGCTTCCCACAGTTGTGTCAAGTTGGCTGGATGTCCTTTGGGTGGTGGACCATTCTTGATACACATGGGAAACTGTTGAGCGTGAAGAACCCAGCAGCGTTGCCGTTCTTGACAGAAACCGGTGCGCCTGGCACCTACTACCATACCCCGTTCAAAGGCACTTAAGTATTTTGTCTTGCCCATTCACCCTCTGAATGGCACACATACACAATCCATGTCTCAATTGTCTCAAGGCTTAAAAATCCTTCTTTAACTAGTCTCCTCCCCTTCATCTACACTGATTGAAGTGGATTTAACAAGTGACATCAATAACGGATCATAGCTTTCACCTGGATTCACCTGGTCAGTCTATACCATGGAAAGAGCAGGTGTTCTTACTGTTTTGCACACTCAGTGTATATACTTATAAATATTCATATTTATATATACGGTAAACTCAATACATTAAGTATGATTACCTGCTGCATTCCAAGATAACCAACCTACAGCACTAGACTTAACTTCACTTGCTTCATCCTTGTAGTATTGAGAGAAACATGGTAATGCTTTCACTGATAGGCCCCCCGTGTAGCTCAGTTGGTAGAGCATGGCGCTTGCAACACCAGGGTTGTGGGTTCGATTCCCATGGGGGGCCAGTATGAAAATGTATGCACTCACTAACTGTAAGTCGCTCTGGATAAGAGCGTCTGATAAATGACCAAAAAAAAGAAAATGTAAAAAAACAGATTGCACATAAAGGAAGATAGATCCTACATGATATAATGCTTGCTTTGTTATGATACTGATCTTGTCGTTTCTGACATCCTGTGAACCCTGTTCATTGCTGCTCACAGCTGTATTCACCATTATTATTAGCGTTAATATACTGGCAGTCCTTATTATGTATAGGAGTTCATAAAATATGTTTATGTGCTATAACAGCTACTGAGACTTCACATTTCAAATACCATAGCCCTGTTCATCCATCAGTTGTTTGCTAAAGTCCATGTAGACCAAGCCCTCATAGACCTGCAATGAAAAGAAAACACAATTTTTGTCAGAAAAAAACTTTAGCTGTGCAGCACAGGCTCAACTACTATGGAGATATTTTCCTTTCACATTGTCCTTTCCAGGACAATTACAACAACTACAGTAACCAGGTCAGCACAGTACAGTACAGCTCCGCTTGGTTTGGCTCAGCTCAGTAGTGGGAAAAGGGGAGTGTTATCTTTTTATTGCTGACCTGAACAACTCTGTCCTGAAGACCAGCAGTGATGAAGAGTTCATCCGTCTCGACGTTGAGGATGAAGTTGGCCCTGATGGGTTTGGGAAGATCCTAGGGCAAACAACAGAACAAAACAACTAAACACAGGTTTTTTTTGGCACATGATTAGAGTGAACTCCAGAGTAACATGTTATTCTTCTTACATTTTCTGTGATGTTGTAGAATTTCATCAGACACTTCAGGGTGGCAGACACTATTGCACTGTTAGAGAAGACATTATTTAATTATACACATTAAGACGTTATAACATGGTATAAATAGACAGAAACGTAATTATGAACACAAAGGGTGTTTGAGCTAGAAAAGATGACAAGACCAAAAAAGGCAAAAGTATATGACTCAGAAGAAATATTGATTGGTATGTGGTTAATCTATAAAATATAGAAGAAACATAATAGTTCACCAGGCAGCGCTTACCTACTTCCTGCCAGGCCCTTCAACAAAGCAGGGAGGGGAGAAATAATAACTAAATCAATCACTAACATTATCACTAGCCTTTTGGCCTAACATAATTGAAAACAGTATTCATAAAGATCTCTCGGGGACTTTCACAGGATACACTGTCATGAACTAGGCTCATGAGACATTTATAAGTGATATTCTTCAAGAGTTAATGGGTATCATTAATTCAAATGAACAAAAACACCTAATAAATATCACAGAGTGGGCCTTTAAATAGAGAGACTGTAGTGTAGACACTTACCACCTGGCGAGGAATGTTGGTATCATACTTGAGAGTGAAGTTCTGCTTTGTCAAAGCGATACTGCCAAAGAAAGTATGCAGGGACTCAAATGAGCATTAACCATGTCAGAATCTGAATTTTCAGCTGTAGCCCCCCACATCAGAGTTATCGAATAATCTGCACTTGCTGTTACTGGCTCCAATGACATTGTTTCTCACCCTTGTTTTGAACAGAACTGGTAAAACTTTTTACAGGTAGCCTGGAGTAACCGTAGACCTCCCAAGTACCTGTAGATCAAAACAATATCGATTTCAATAAGGTTTGGGAATTCATCATATAAATATACTGCATGTATGTGTTGCATTAGGGCTTTTACACTGACCCCTCCTTACGGCTGATACAGTACAGATCCTGCAAGCTTCCAAATTCAGTCGGGTCATTGAGCGGATGAGGCATAAGAACCTGAAGAAAACAGAGCAAACATATCATTCATACCATCTATATGGTTGAATACATAAATGTTTTATCAGAGATGACACTACGCATTTTGTATTGTCCTGCCGTGTACTGTATATTAACTGGAGTCAAGTCTGACTGTTACCAGAGTCTGGCTCTCCATCAGTGTGACCTCAGCCCAGAAGTTGGAGATGGTCATGGCAATCGTTTTCCCATTGAAGCCATCAGAAGGATTCCCCATCAGTCCAACTCTATGAGGAAGTGAAAGATGATGTTAGATCACATTCGCTGAAAGGACATATTCACTGAAGATGGAGTCCAAAAGCTGAGAGAACAACCCATCAATACTATTTATCATAAAGTCTTTGTAGCGGTGCAGTCTACCTTGCGTATGAGCGGCACGTTATAGGTTTGGCAGGGAATTGCTGTTGCTGGGCAGAATAGTGGGCAAGCCACTTGGTGTAGTCTGACAGCCCCTGTGATATCCAGAAGATAAATGCATATCGCCAATATATATCATCATCAAATCACTCTTTCCAATAGAGCTAACCATCTAGTCATACCACCTTCCTTCCACTATATTGTGATGCTTAAATGACTGTCAATCTATTTGCATGCTCTCCAGTGGAGAGTTACATATCTCATTTCATAACAACTTGAACTGAAACTTACACTATAGTCACACTATTTGTCATTTAGCATATTATGTTAACTCAACAGTAGTCTGTATGGGTGGGGGAAAAAGCAACCCACCACTTGTCCAATGAGCTGGAACCCTGTGGGCAGTTTCATGCCAAACACAGGTAACTTCTCCTCATTGATGATCCACTCCTGGGTGAAAAGACAAACAGGGAGTCTCGTGATGTGAGTGTTAGTTGCTAACCGATTTGATAGACAGTACTAACGATACAGTAATAACCAGAGTTGGGGTCAATCCAGCTTTCAATTCAGAAAGTGAATTGAAATTCAAATCATGACTTCAAAATGCTCATATAAAATAACAGGCAATTTTCAATTAATGAATTGAATTTCAATTCACTTCCGGAAGTCACTGAATTGAAAACTGAACTGAACCCAAATATTCCCATGTTCACAGTCTTTACTGACCCAGAACCTGCCGAAGGTCCTGTCTTGGGCTTGCGGCTGCAGGGTGAGGAAATCTGAGAGGTAAGGCAGTGTGGCTTTGCGAAGGCAGTAGAACACCACACTGGCCAGACGCAATGCTGTCACACCCTCCTGTGGCTTCTCAAGGAAGCGAGTTATCCTAAAATACACAGAGATACCCAAGCTTTTAGGCTTTTCTGTTGGTGGCAAATTACCCATACAGTGATCAAATGGGAGTACTGCTATCAACAATATACTGGTATCAAGATAAGTTCTGCCACAGATAATTTTTTCCCTGTTACCTACCTGTGGGTCTCAGGGCATACCTCCACTATACCCCTGGAGCTGCTCTTCTCTCCCTCCTCCAGCTCATAGTATATGGCCAGCTCTCCAGGCTGTCAAAGACAGAGATACTAACATGTAAACAAGGCCAAAAACCTACTCCACTATGAGTGTGGTTACAGTTTCTCAGAGGTGAGGTATATGTTGTTATTCACCAGAAGGAGCACATACAGTATGTTATCTTACCTTGGACTTGAAGAAGCGGAGAACCTGAGCAATATCAAAGTTCTGGTCTGCACAGAGCATATCCCCTGCAATCTGTCCACAAACACAGTTTGGAAAATAATTACCACACAATGGAACATTTCAATCCACACAATTAGGAAATTATAAAATGATAATGAAGTGACGTCTAGGATCAGTGCCGTGCCATACCACCATGACATCGTCTTGCAGCTTGCGGCTGCGGATGGCGAGCTCCAGGTCAGCCACTGCTCCAAGCCGGCCCTCGAGGGTGGTGCTGCCGTCGTTCACTACATTCTCCACAGGGAAGTCATTGGCCGTTGCCCAGCGCTCATAGTGCTTATACCTGGAATGGGAGACATAGGTGAACAGCTAAGCAGTAAGTGGTCCTCCGTAGCTCAATTGGTAGAGCATGGCGCTTGTAACGGCAGGGTAGTGGGTTCGATCCCCGGGACCACCCATACGTAAAAATGTATGCGCACATGACTGTAAGTCGCTTTGGATAAAAGCGTCTGCTAAATGGCATATTATATAATCAATCCTTCCCAGGTCATAGGACAACAACTCCCAATACAATTGGCTGAAATGTGAATACATGGGACGCAGGATCAGTTCAGTCTGTTATGATGAAATACAGTAAGTGTCAATACTGTTACTACATGTTACTGTACTTACTTGTCTGCATTTGTGACCAGATAGACCTCACTGAACAACTGCCGCCTGGAGAGAAATACATATTCCAAGGTTAAAGGGATTCAATTATGTAATTATGCCAACTGGGACTGAGTATAAGACATGTAGTACAGGAAAACTGTAAGGGCAGTCGACAGTCATTAATTTCACTGATAACTCACGTGTTCACCGTCTCCCACCAGAAGTCCAGGATTTTCTTTCCTCCTATCCCAGGCAACAATGCCTTTGGCACCCCAGTCAGCTGTCCATACAAACCTGTGACATCATTCTAGAGAATTGACAAAAAAGGAGTGAAGGGATGTGGGTTTGGCAGTTGTTGCACACCTTAGAACTAATATTCCCCAAAAAGGTGTTGATACTTGGACATATTTCAGCAGGCCTATAGCATAGTGACCAGTTATCTCTCTCTCCCTCGCTCTCAAACACACACACACACCTCAGCCTGCCTTACAGTCATAAAGGTGAATAGGAAAAAAGAGACCTAATTCGGAAAGTATTCAGTCCCGTTCCCTTTTTCCACATTTTGTTACATTACAGCCTTATTTCAAAATGGATTAAATACATGTTTTCCCTCATCAATCTACACACAATACCCCATAATGACAAGGCGAAAACAGGCTTTTAGACATTTTTGCATAAGTATTCAGACCCTTTGCTATGAGACTCGAAATTGAGCTCAGGTGCATCCTGTTTCCATTGATCATCCTTGATTGGAGTCCACCTGTGGTAAATTAAATTGATTGGACATGATTTGGAAAGGCACACACCTGTCTATAAAATAAAAGTCATGAGGTCGATGGAATTGGCCGTAGAGCTCCGAGACAGGATTGTGTCGAGGCACCGATCTGTGGAAGGGTACCAAAAAATGTCTGCAGCATTGAAGGTCCCCAAAAACAAAGTGGCCTCCATTATTATTACATTTTACATTTTAGTCATTTAGCAGACGCTCTTATCCAGAGCGACTTCTTAAATGGGAGAAGTTTGAAACCACCAAGACTCTTCCTAAAGTTGGTCGCCTGGCCAAACTGAGCAATCGAGGAGAAGGGCCTTGGTCAGGGAGGTGACCAAGAACCCAATGGTCACAGATGGGAGAACCTTCCAGAAGAACAACCATCTCTGCAGCACTCCACCAATCAGGCCTTTATGGTAGAGTGGCCAGACAGAAGCCACTCCTCAGTAAAAGGCATGACAGCCCGCTTGGAGTTTGCCAAAAGGCACCTAAAGGACTCTCAGACCATGAGAAACAAGATTCTCTGGTCTGATGAAACCAAGATTGAACTCTTTGGCCTGAATGCCAAGTGTCACGTTTGGAGGAAACCTGGTACATGAAGCATGGTGGTGGCAGCATCATGCTGTGGGGATGTTTTTCAGCGGCAGGGACTGGGAGACTAGTCAGGATCGAGGGAAAGATGAACGGAGCAAAGTACAGAGAGATCCTTGATGAAAACCTGCTCCAGAATGCTCAGGACCTCAACAATTCAATCCATTTTATAATAAGGCTGTAACGTAACAAAATGTGGAAAAAGTCAAGGGATCTGAATACATTCCGAATGCACTCTATGTAACACTCCGAGACTGACTGAACGTTGTGTCATTGAACATACATTTTTCTTCCTGAGAAAAAGTTATCTTCACGAATAAACTAAATCTTTGCATTATTTTAGTAGTTAGCCTACCTTGTGCGACGGTAAGTCTGATTTGGTATTATTGAAGTGCAGTGTATGTTTTTGTGTGCATTGACCTGCTTGTGTTGTGAAATGAACCAACCATGTACGCGAACTCTGCACCCAAACCTCGTCTGCTCACATAAACAACTTACCTTTATCTGAGTTTCTAGAACAGTGCCATGGCCAGCTACCAATAAAATGCAGATCATTTTCTTGGCCGTAGTCTTATTCGCTTGCGAACGACATCAAATACCTTGGGTTATGCGATTCGGTACAATAAACAGTAAAATTGTGTACCAGACGATTTCACGTTGAAATGTGATTAGAGGACCGCTCCACTGTAGCCTAATTCTTAAAGGGCCAGTGTCTCCGAATGATGACCCCCTGCCGGCGAGTTCCCATAAATTGCATGCATTCAGGAAACAGAAAAAAATTGAAAATATAGTTCATAAAACCATGACTTGTTTATATATATATTTTTTATTATTATTAAAAATGCTAATGACAATCATACATTATATACTAGGTTGGCTAATGATGAAATGAAAACTCAGAATGATGCAACTGATGTTCATAGTAAACTGAACAGAAAGCTCTCAATCCCATGAAGTTTTCACACTCAATTATGAAGTTCCATCAATTTATCAATACAAAGATCCTTTATTACAATATATATAATTGTAATACATTTTCCACTGACAACTTTAGAGAAACAACGTGCTGAGCCACTTGACACTCTAGATGTGTCAAATGTACAGTCGTGGTCAAAAGTTTTGAGAATGACACAAGTATTGGTCTTCACAAAGTTTGCTGCTTCAGTGTTTTTAGATATTTTTGGCAGATGTTACTATGGTATACTGAAGTATAATTACAAGCATTCCATAAGTGTCAAAGGCTTTTTATTGACAATTACATTAAGTTTATGCAAAGAGTCAATATTTGCAGTGTTGACCCTTCTTTTTCCAAGACCTCTGCAATCCGCCCTGGCATGCTGTCAATTAACTTCTGGGCCACATCCTGACTGATGGCAGCCCATTCTTGCATAATCAATGCTTGGAGTTTGTCAGAATTTGTGGGTTTTAGTTTCTCCACCCACCTCTTGAGGATTGACCACAAGTTTTCAATGGGATTAAGGTCTGGGGAGTTTCCTGGCCATGGACCCAAAATGTCGATGTTTTGTTCCCCGAGCCACTTAGTTATCACTTTGCCTTATGGCAAGGTGCTCCATCATGCTGGAAAATGCATTGTTCGTCACCAAACTGTTTGTGGATGGTTGGGAGAAGTTGCTCTCGGAGGATGTGTTGGTACCAAGGTAGTGGGTTCGATCCCCGGGACCACCCATACACAAAAAAATAAAAATGTATGCACGCATGACTAAGTCGCTTTGGATAAAAGCGTCTGCTAAATGGCATATTATTATTATTATTCTTTATTCATAACTGTGTTCTTAGGCAAAATTGTGAGTGAGCCCACTCCCTTGGCTGAGAAGAAACCCCACACATGAAGGGTCTCAGGATGCTTTACTGTTGGCATGACACAGGACTGATGGTAGCGCTCACCTTGTCTTCTTCAGATGCCCCAAACAATCAGAAAGGGGATTCATCAGAGAAAATGACTTCACCCCAGCCCTCAGCAGTCCAATCCCTGTACCTTTTGTGGCTTCCTCGCTGCCCTTCGTGACACCAGGCCATCCTCCAAAAGTCTTCACCTCACTGTGCGTGCAGATGCACTCACACCTGCCTGCTGCCATTCCTGAGCAAGCTCTGCACTGGTGGTGCCCCGATCCCGCAGCTGAATCAACTTTAGGAGACGGTCCTGGCGCTTGCTGGACTTTCTTGGACGCCCTGAAGCCTTCTTCACAACAATTTAACCTCTCTCCTTGAAGTTCTTGATGAACCGATAAATGGTTGATTTAGGTGCAATCTTACTAGCAGCAACATCCTTGCCTGTGAAGCCCTTTTTGTGCAAAGCAATGATGACGGCACGTGTTTCCTTGCAGGTAACCATGGTTAACAGAGGAAGAACAATGATTTCAAGCACCACCCTCCTTTTAAAGCTTCCAGTCTGTTATTCTAACTCAATCAGCATGACAGAGTGATCTCCAGCCTTGTCCTTGTCAACATTCTCACCTGTGTTAACGAGAGAATCACTGACATGATGTCAACTGGTCCTTTTGTGGCAGGGCTGAAATGCAGTGGAAATGTTTTTGGGGGATTAAGTTCATTTTCATGGCAAAGAGGGACTTTGCAATTAATTGCAATTCATCCGATCACTCTTCATGACATTCTGGAGTATATGCAAATTGCCATCATAAAAACTGAGGCAACAGACTTTGTGAAAATTAATATTTGTGTCCTTCTCAAAACTTTTGACCACGACTGTAAATGTATTTTGAAACTTATACTAAGAGTTACTAAATATACTTGACAATGAAGCGCAAATGTGTCAAAGGTAAAAAAGCTAAACAATTGTATGTACATGACAGCTGAAGAGCTGTGGGAAAAATCTTTACTTATAAGAGCTAACATGGTGTTCCTTATGTAAAATGTGACCATTTAATGACCTATCTGCAAACTCCTTCAGACTGATTTTGTAGTGAAGTGGAGAAATTTCTTCTGGTTTGAGGTCCAAAGTTCTGTCACATGTTAATTCTACCATTCCTCCACTGAGATATTCCTATTCTATGATCCAACATCTGTCCTCTCCCCTGACTACCCATGCTGCTCCTCACTGAGGGTCTGCGCTTGCTGCTCCAACAATGCCATTCTGTCGCAGCTGGTTCCTCAGAATCTGGTTCTTGGATTTCCAGTCTTCTACCTGTGAAAAATTGGAGGGGAAAAGCAGCTTTAAAAAAAGCCTATTATTACAGCTGATGCATGGATTTTCGTGAAAAGTTGTCCTAAGGTTTGGTATTTTGTTCGCAAGTTACATTTTCAGCATGTTTGAGGGGTACAGTTTGAGCACGGCGAGGTACAGAACCCCTAACCTTGATCACTTTATTAGTAGTTAATAAGTAGTTGTTTGAATGCAAGGTGATTCATAGATCAGTGATGCTGTGCAGTCCGACTACAATGTAGTCAAATCTCAAACACATTTTCTGTGGTTCTGTGTGATTGCATATAATTAGTATTGTAGTAAGTAGGTGAACAGGATTGATGATAGCACAAAAATCTCTCACTCACTCACTAATCCTACAGCCTGATCAGCAAAATCAAAATCTGAACCTATTATAAAGCGTGAACGAATCATAGTAGGCTGTTTACACAGGCAGCCCAATTCTGATATTTTCCCACTTATTGGTCTTTTGACCAATCAGATCAGCTCTTTCTACAATAATTGGGCAAAATATCAGAATTGGGCTGCCTATGTAAATGCAGCCGTAGTGTTTTACCTCCTGCCTCAGTAGTTGGTTGTCCATTCTGAGCCTCTCCAGGGTGCTTAGGTCATCCCCTAGCCGGAGGTTGTTCTGCCGGAGCTCCTGGATATAGTCACAGGCTTTGGAGAGGATCCCACCTTTACTCTGGACCAAAACACAAAGACCATGTCACCCTCTCCCATGTAGGGCCAGGAGGTTTTTCCTGAGAATGTGTTCTGACAAGGAAAAACTGGGTCCTCGTTTTTATAGCTAAGTTATTTCTAGTCAGGTAACATGGTCAGGAAAAAATCCTGGCCATACTCATGAGACTTGATAGTGACCCCTTTTATGGTGATACTGACCTCATTGCTGATACTGACCTGCCCTGACTTGGTAGGGTCAATATTGCAGTCTGGGATGGTCTTTGAGAGCGTGACGATCCAGTTGTTGATCTTGTCCCTGCGTCTACGTTCAACTTGGAGACAAATTACACAATGACAAATTTGAGTAAGTTGGCAGGGCAACATATGATTCTGTGCTCATTATGACATGCAAACCCAACTAGCATTTAAGAGACATTTCATATTAAGTATTGTACGAGTAATTTATGATGGGTATCTAGGTCTCACCCTCGTTGTGCTGGGCTCGCCTTTTGTCATCTCTAGAAGTGCGTGGGATCTCTGATTTTCTGCCAGACACAATCAGTATAGACATTAATAAAACAGATATATTACAATGATAACGGTTGTCATACACAGGATACGGATGCACACATCCATATGTGATGCTAAAACAGTAACAAGGCTAAGTAATTATAACCCAACACACAAAGAAACTCATGAATGGACACAGGACAGTGTGACTAACTAGTATGGTAACTGTGATGATTCTCCTGGCTTCTCCAGTCCAGTACCTACTGCACTGATCAAAATGGCAGCTTACGTGTTGTAAGGTTGTGTGCGAGGTGCAATGGACCTCTGGTTGGCTCCCGTCAGCACTTCCTGGGGGGACATCATCACATACAACTGCCCTGAAACAAAGAACAAAGAATTCCCCTGCTTCCTTCAATCCAAATTGTCAATATAAATGTATCAATATCAAATGGCAATCACAATGGAAAGCCAACTGGAAATAAATGCACAACCTGATTGAGCATAAAAATAAGAGCTATTCATTCTATCTAGCAATTCTATTTATATGTGATTGAGTCTCCTTAATCTCCTCACCAGTGGGAGTGCTCTGACTTAGATGTGTATCAGATGCCTGCACCACGCTGGTTACCATGGTGCCTGGTGAAGCATCAGCGATGGTGGCAGGGTAGTAGGTGTAATGAGTCTCAGTGCTGTCCCCCTCCAACCCCTCGGACTGAGAGAACACAGCCTACAGCAAGAGGACACCTTTGTCAGTGTTGAATAACAATGAAAACTGTACACAGTGAGTAGTAGAAGTAGAGGAATATAATAGAGAATCTTTATTATCCCAGATTAAAAACAATGCTATGTTTGATTTCCAGAATCTGACTGATTGAATACTACTAGCCTGGTGGGCAAAACTGGTTGAAATGACTTATTTGTATATCATTTCAACCAGTGTTTCCCGCTGAGAGGGTCCCAAGTCCTGCTCATATAAATTCTCACCTGGGTCACAGGCTGTGTGGCTGCAGGAAATCCAGTTAGCACACTGACCGCTGTGGCTCCATCACTTTGAGCCTCCAACTGTCCATCAGACACCTGGATGACTCTGTATGTCACCTTCAGCAAAATAAAACACACAGGTTTGTTGAGCGAAACATCAATTCGGTCATTAGTAATGACAGAAGACTGAGCCTCAGAAAACTATGGATGGGCAATGGCTGGGCTCAGAGCTCTAGCTCAGGGACTTCGGCTAGATCTAGTGAGCCCTGTAGAGTATGCTCTCCCTAACTGTACCTGACCAGTGGGAGGGTAGTACAGCTCCCCTACCTGCCCCCCTGCTCCCTCAGTCTTGAATAGATACTTTATGGGATGCTCTGAGGAGAAGGTGGCGGCAGACTGAATGGTGGCGATGGCAGCTGATGGGTCATCTGCTGTAGCCACTGCACCTGGTAGAGAAAAATCAGAACACATAGTCTCTATAATATCAGCAAGAAAATACCACGGGTGTCTTGTCTTCTGATGTTTTGAGGGGCATTATTTCCTTTCTACATGACATTACCTTCTTCAATGACATGTGCACTTTCATCCGGGTCAGGGCTTTTCTGTTGACTACATAACGAAATAAGAATAACAATGTTAATATACAGTAACACACCACTCTTTCAACTTGTGCTAGAATATGACCATCCAGCCCAACACTCAAATTCATTACAACAAATCATGTGGAAGTAGATTTGGTTCAAATGGATTATGGTTAAATCAATGTTTTGTTAGCTCACCCCTTCATTTTCACAGACAATGTCAACTGGAAAGAGAATCTCCTTCATTCACCCGGGAGCTAAACAGGCTACAGGAAAAGGTACTGGTTATCTTTTGGGGAAAACAAACTAGGCTACAGAACCCCAATCACTAACCTGAAACATTGGTACAGGCTCGGCGTGTATCGATCTAGAATAATCTAGGAACCAGCTATACAGTATGTTTGATTGGAGCGATAACAGTACTATTTAGGCCCCTTCAGTAGTTACAGTCGATGTTGCCCCCCTACAATGTAGCCGCGAGCGTGGAACATTCAGCAAATAACTACCCTGTAACTTTGCAGATCATTATATTGCTGAAGACGTCATGCAAACAGCTGCAGCGAAATATCAAAATTCAAAATGCCAAATCCAGCGTGCTAAAGTTGTAGCTAACCAACACACATAACGATATTTACTTGTATAAATTACGAATATGTAGCTAGCATTAGCATTAAGCTGCATTATTCCAGCGGTTCCTTCAAGCTGCGACGGGTCAGTAAAACAAAGCACCTTTGCTATAGCTAGCTGCTACTAGCTAATGTTGTGAGTTAACGTAAACTAGCTATTTAGCCAGTAATAAAGCCAGGCAAATGTCAAAATGTGGCATTTGTACAACGCTGCTTGAAACATTTAATTGCATAGAGAATACAGTATTTGTACAATAGCTACATACAAGATCGGAAACACTTACCGTGCAATTGGCCCCTCCCCAGTTGTTTGTCAACATTACTGGCTGTCTGCGCCAATGACTATGGTCTGCGCATGTACCACATTTTATGTGCGCTTAATTTACATCGTCTGGCGCGCTCAGTGTGCAGATTTGACCCGTTTACCATTCCATTGCTTCTCGAAACTGCGCCGGGTAAGATAAATCAAATGGATCTAATGTGGTGGCCATCTTTACCGGGCTTCATCAACTGTGCAGATCTAGGATCAGCATTCTAACCACACCCCTAGTATAAATCAGAAGGAGACAAAATATAAAACCGATCCTGAATCTGGGACCGTGGTCAAGTAGCCTACAAAAAAAAATATTTTGGTCCGAAGGGGTTCACTGTTTCACAACTTTGGTCATAGACAGTTATGTGAAAGTTAATCTAAATTCGCGAATGAATGATGACTGCATGCACCGTAACTCTGTCTTGTTTTGTTGTAGTCTCTATTTTCCCGCTCAATACCCATCAAATTGCTACAGTGATGAAAAAGTGACTGGCGAGTTTACAGTAATCTAGCTACTCAACAAAAAAATATTCAAAATATGGATTGTTTTATTTAGAAGTGGTAGCTATAACTCATATAAGGAGACAATAAAACCGAGCTGAATCTGGGACCATGGGGAGGTAGGCCAAAGGGGTTCACTGTTTCACTACTTTGTATCACAGGCAGCAATTATGTGAAATGTAATCTAAATTCCAATTTATGCATACATAGTAACTCTTGTTTTGTTGTAGTCTCTATTTTCTTGCTCAATATAATCAAAGGTTAGCTACAGTGATGAATAAGTGACTGGCAAAACGCTGGACAGCGCCCGTGGTTCGAACCCCTTTGCAGAGGTTTAGGACTGTCTGAATGAGAAAGTGTTCGAAGTAACCACTGAGCTACACCAGCGCAGTATTTCATATGGGAAATTCGTTTGTTATACATAAGCCGCGATGTTGTTAACATCATGTTGCAATGAATTGTATGTTATTCCACCATGTTTAAAAATGTTTAGCAAGAATGTGACTCTGAAAACAAAATATGAGTCTTTGAACTATTGAACATTATCTATTTTATAAAATGTATGTTACTCCATTCATTACTTCATAATGCTTGTTGTGGATTGTTGTCTCATGTGTGTGGCTATTATATTAGAACAGACTGGAGTCACTGAGGTTGTCAGTTTGAGAGTGAGGGATTCACTAGGCCTATATGGCTAGATTTACAATAATTCCAAATATTGATTGTTCTATTTCAAATTAGGCCACAGGAAGGCTAAATATATTTTATTTTTTAATTTCATGTTATGAATTGTACATAGTAGCCTAATTCAGACAGAGTTTAGCTTCAGCTTGTAAGGGTATGTAGTGCATTCAGGAAATGATCTTACATAGTGACATGAATACCACAGGCCATAGCAGGGTGGGAGCTTGATGCAACATCAACCCCATTGTAGAGCAAGCTTTGATGTGTTCTGTACAAAGTAGCCTAATTCAGACAGAGTTGAGCTTCAGCTTGTGAGGGTAGGTTGTCCATTCAGGAAAGGATCTTCCATAGTGACATGAATACCACAGGCCATAGCAGGGTGGGAGCTTGATGCAACATCAACCCCATGGTAGAGCAAGTTTTGATGTGTTCTGGGGAGAGGAAGGTTATTGTGTTCATTAACATGTACAAAGTCATCCACTTGAGGAATATTGTCAGAATGAGTTCTCTGTTCAGCAGTGGGCCTAATCTGTGTTCCTGTTATATGGTGGACATTGGAGTTTTTTCCACTCAGCTATCATCATTTGTTTATATCCACCTAATTTCATCAAACTTTTAGGGCTGCATTGCAACTTTCCCCAGTCATATGTGCCTTTTGACAATACATAGGAATGCATGCAGGTCATGCTAGATTTCAGAAATATATTTGAAATAGAGACCTTATGAACTTGACAACTTTGTCCATAAGACACGGAATAGCGTTTTTTTTTTTATCTACCGGTCAAAAGTTTTAGAACACCTACTCATTCAAGGGTTTTTCTTTATTTTTACATTGTAGAATAATAGTGAAGACATCAAAACTATGAAATAACACATGGATTCATGTAGTAACCAAAAAAGTGTTAAATCAAAATATAATATATTTTTGAGATTCTTCAAATAGCCACCCTTTGCCTTGATGTCAGCTTTACACGCTCTTGGCATTCTCTCAACCAGTTTCACCTGGAATGTTTTTCCAACAGTCTTGAAGGAGTTCCCACATATGCTTAGCACTTGTTGGCTGCTTTTCCTTCACTCTGCGGTCCGACTCATCCCAAACCATCTCAATTTGGTTGAGGTCGGGGGATTGTGGAGGCCAGGTCATCTGATGCAGCACTCCATCACTCTCCTTGTTGGTAAAATAGCCCTTACACAGCCTGGAGGTGTGTTGGGTCATTGTCCTGTTGAAAAACAAATGATAATCCCACTAAGCCCAAACCAGATGGGATGGCGTATCGCTGCAGAATTCTGTGGTAGCCATGCTGGTTAATTGTACCTTGAATTCTAAATAAATCACAGACAGTGTCACCAGCAAAGCACCCCCACACCATAACACCTCCTCCTCCATGCTTTACGGTGGGAAAGACACGGCGGTTGGAAACAAAAATCTCAAATTTGGACTCCAGACCAAAGGACACATTTCCACCATTCTAATGTCCATTGCTCGTGTTTCTTGGCCCAAGCAAGACTCTTCTTCTTATTGGTGTCCTTTAGTAGTGGTTTCTTTGCTGCAATTTGACCATGAAGACATGATTCACACAGTCTCCTCTGAACAGTTGATGTTGAAATGTGTCTGTTACTTGAACTCTGTGAAGCATTTATTTGGGCTGCAATTTCTGAGGCTAGTAACTCTAATGAACTTATCCTCTACAGCAGAGGTAACTCTAGGACTTCCATTCCTGTGGCGGTCCTCATGAGAGCCAGTTTCATCATAGCACTTGATGGTTTTTGCGACTGCACTTTCAAAGTTCTTGAAATGTTCCGTATTGACTGACCTTCATGTCTTAAAGTAATGATGGACTGTCGTTTCTCTTTGCTTATTTGAGCTGTTCTTGCCATAAAATGGACTTGGTCTTTTACCAAATAGGGCTATCTTCTGTATACCCCCACCTTGTCACAACACAACTGATTGGCTCAAACGCATTAAGAAGGAAAGAAATTCCACAAATTAACTTTTAACAAGGCACACCTGTTAATTGAAATGCATTCCAGGTGACTACCTCATGAAGCTGGTTGAGAGAATGCCAAGAGTGTGCAAAGCTGTCATCAAGGCAAAGGGTGGCTATTTGAAGAATCTCAAATAGAAAATATATTTTGATTTTTTTAAACACTTTTTTAGTTCCATATATGTTATTTCATAGTTTTGATGTCTTCACTATTTTATACAATGTAGAAAATAGTAAAAATAAAGAAAAACCCTTGAATGAGTAGGTGTTCTAAAACCTTTGACCGGTAGTGTATATTTTTGTCTTATTATACAATGCCAGAATGTAGCTGTCATTGCTTCAAAGGGGATATACAGGTAACTGCCAAAATAAAGGAAACACCAACATAAAGTGTCTTAAGGGCGTTCGGCCACCACGAGCCAGAACAGCTTCAATGCACCTTGGCATAGATTCTATAAGTGTCTGGAACTCTATTGGAGGGATGCGACACCATTCTTCCATGAGATATTCCATCATTTGGTGTTTTGTTGGTGGTGGTGGAAAATACAGTCTCAAGTGGTACTCCAGAATCTCCCAAAGGTGTTCAATTGGGTTGAGATCTGGTGACTGAGATGGCCATGGCATATGGTTTACATCGTTTTCATGCTCATCAAACCATTCATTGACCACGCGTACCCTGTGGATGGAGGCATTGTTATCCTATGGGGCATAGCCATGGTAGCCAAAATAATGTCCTGAGCAGCATTTTTTACATGACCCTAAGCATGATGGGATGATCTTTGCTTAATTAACTCAGGAACCACACCTGTTTGGAAGCACCTGCTTTCAATATACTTTGTATCCCTCATTTACTCAAGTGTTTCTATTATTTTTGCAGTTACCTGTAGGTCTATAAGTAGTTTCAACTGTATTTATCTATTATTTTGATTGATACTCACGTTTGTTGTGGGGGTTCCTGTAGTTTATAGTGATGTTCTTCCTCTCTTCCATACCTTTCCGTATCAAAGTACAGTTATAACTCTTTGTCTCATTGAAATTAGTTAGGGCATGGCCAATGAGAATAAGCCGACACCAACCTTTTGCTGTAATGTCAAAGGTTGAGTCATTTCTCGTCTGAAAGTTGTTGTAAGAGCTCCCCAACAGGACCCCGTCCTCTGTGGTGAGGAAGTTACAATTAAAGGACGGTGACCCAGTACATTGTGGGTACCTGCATTTCAACATGAGGCTGTTGTCTTCAGTGATACAGGCAGTAAGTTTTCCAAAATTGCCTTTCTTTTCTGCTGAACAGGTGACTGAAAGTACAAGACATACAAAGACTTACAATATTGCTTCATTTGGTTTTTACAACAACTCCATGTATTGATACAGTAAAAGGTTAAAGGGACATTTCACTCATAAATGAAAGTTTGTCAGATGGTTTTAGACCTCAAAAGTAGATTAATGTTGAGATACATACAGTTGAATTCGGAAGTGTACATACACTTAGGTTGGAGTCATTAAAACTCGTTTTTCAACCACTCCACAAATTTCTTGTTAACAAACAATAGTTTGGACAAGTCGGTTAGGACATCTACTTTGTGCATGACACAAGTAACTTTTTCAACAATTGTTTACAGACAGATTATTTCACTTATAATTCACTGTATCACAATTCCAGTGGGTCAGAAGTTTACATACACTAAGTTGACTGTGCCTTTAAACAGCTTGGAAAATTCCAGAAAATTATGTCATGGCTTTAGAAGCTTCTGATAAGCTAATTGACATCATTTGAGTCAATTGGAGGTGTACCTGTGGATGGATTTCAAGGCCTACCTTCAAACTCAGTGCCTCTTTGCTTGACATCATGGGAAAATCAAAAGAAATCAGCCAAGACCTCAGAAAAAAACATTGTAGACCTCCACAAGTCTGGTTCATCCTTGGGAGCAATTTCCAAATGCCTGAAGGTACCACATTCATCTGTACAAACAATAGTATGCA